ATTTATACCATAGTCCAGTGTTTCCCAGGCAGCATATATATGCAAACTCATTCTCTGCCAGCAGGAGGCGCTGTTGGAATGGTAGAGATCAAGGTTTCCCCGGTAACAGCTGTACACAACACAGTGCTCCGCTCAAAAAAAAAACACACTGCTTTATCAGACATTACATGCAAGATTAAATGAAAATGACACAATTTTCTTAAGACAGTCGGTTTCCTTCAGAAATACAGTGATATAAAAACACCCGCACTCAATGTATGGTAAACACTGTAGTCTCATAAAAGTGTAAATTCTGCAGATTACATTATTGTCCAGTATTGTACTGCCAGCAATTTATTATAAAAACGTTTTCATAATTGTAACATACATATTTACATACATAATTATTCAGGTGCATGTGTAATAATTTGCAAAGACTTGAGGCTACAGCAGCACTTTTTCTTCGTCGTCGTCTTGTCTGATGCACTCAACCAAGCGTTCGAACCACGACCTCGCCCCTCCCCACCCTCCAAATATTCGAGTTTCCATAGGCAGGAATTATTTTAATGATATTCTAATGGACCGCTTTGTGATATCACAAAACCCGGAAAACAAATGCTGTAGTCCAAACGAGCCGTTCGTTGTAGTTCTTGAAAAGGGATTTTTTTTAAATGAAATATCTCCCTTTGGAGTGGACTTTGAGATTTGTAAGATTGAAGATTTTTTTTATGCCCAAACATACACACTACACACTGACTAAAATTCAAAAAGTGAAAATGCATAATAGGACCCCTTTAAGATTATGTATGTATTACGACAGGGCAGTTAACATATTAAACAGCATTTTCTTTCACTCTAAACCTTTATTACATGTAGATCAGCTGCAATCTGGTCTACTGACACTGAACTTGGCATAAAATCACTTAGTAGACATAATAAACAGCCAATCACTGCATATCAGTCAATACATTCGTCCATGGACCTCATCCAGGCCTAATTTCAAAATCAAGCTCCATTACTGACAACCAACACTCATCAATATGCGGCATAATTGATAGAGGATATCAGAACTTGCGTGACGGTGTTACTTTAACCCAGTCGGCTTCGGCTTTCATTTTGCTCGTGGGGACCTCATTTCCTGAGCAACCCTAAACCTGACTTGCAATGTATTAATCTATTGTGTGCTAGTCAGACTCACATGTCTGCTGCTTTAGCGAGGAAGACAGCGGTGTCATTTAGATACAAGATTAGCTGCCAACGGCGGGAATGTTAGACAACATCATGAAAAACATGGGCACGGAGGGAATCAATTTTCTGTACATTTAGTACAGAATTCAAAAACAATTCCATATCATCATGTCAATTAGGAACAAGGGGCAAAGTTTGTCTGGTTAACATGGGTAGTAGCATCTTTCCGTTTTGACGCTATGTAGTCTTTTTTTCCCCCAAGCAATAAACACTATCATTTAAAAGAAATTAATACTTTTACTTTTACTTTTAGCATGGGATGAATTAAATTGATCAAAAGTGACAGTAAACGCATTTTTAATGTTACAATATATTTGTTTGTTAAATACAGTAAATGCCATACTTTTGAACTTACTATTCATCAAAGAATGAATAAAAATAAAAATGTATCATGATTTCCACAAAAATATTAAGCAGCATAACTGTTTTCAACACTGATAATAATAGGAAATATTTCATGACCACCAAATCAGCATATTAGAATGATTTCTGAAGGATCATCCCCCAAGCAATAAACACTATCATTTAAAAGAAATGATTACTTTTACTTTTAGCATGGGATGAATTAAATTGATCAAAAGTGACAGTAAACGCATTTTTAATGTTACAATATATTTGTTTGTTAAATACAGTAAATGCCATACTTTTGAACTTACTATTCATCAAAGAATGAATAAAAATAAAAATGTATCATGATTTCCACAAAAATATTAAGCAGCATAACTGTTTTCAACACTGATAATAATAGGAAATATTTCATGACCACCAAATCAGCATATTAGAATGATTTCTGAAGGATCATGTGACACAAGACTGGAGTAATGATGCTGAAAATTTCAACATGACCAGTGTGGAAAGTGACTTAAACTTCATTTTAAAATATATTAAAATAGAAAACAATTATGTTCAATTGTAATAATATTTCACACATTACATTTATTGTGTTTTTGATAATAAATGCAGCCTTTGTGCGCATAAGAGGCTTAAAAAAAATTGATTGTTACCAACCCCAAATGTTTTAAATTTAGTGTATAAATGCCAAATATTTCATTATTTCATAATAGACATTTCTACAGTTAGCAATTTGATTCTGAAGAACTCAAAATTACTTTTTCGTATATGGAGAACTCAAAATAACTTTTTCTTTGTTACATATATATCTTATATTTTCCTTATATGCTGATATCACAGTTCAGGGCTGCATTTCCCAAAAGCATCATAAGCCTAAGTAGATTGTTTAACCATTGCCACCAATGGTCTCTACGATCAACTTAGCTCAAAATGCTTTTGAGACATGCAGCCCAGGCTAGTCCCAGGTGAAGGGTGTTCTTATTCTTATGGTGCCAACTAGCTTTGTCATGACGTTATTTTCCTGTGACTTCTAATGGATAGCAATGTCTCACCAGGTACTACTAACTACTTCATTTAGAACAATTTCAATGTCAAACTTTCTTAAATGCTATGAAGGTACTGGTCTGTAGAGACGAAGACCTTTACTGACACCTTGTGTTTATACTAGGCACTGCTGTACTGTATTTCTCTTCTGATTTCTAAGGTACTGCCAATTAGGGGTGGATGCTGGAGACAAAATCTAATCACAGTAATGGTACATTTCATGACATATATCAAAGGCCTGCTGGATCATCATTTTTATTTGACCCTTCATTTGACACATGCTAATCATGAGGCTGAATCATAAAATTTATTTAGGACTAGATGTTATTGGGCTCTCTATTGGGTTTTGAGCATCTTCTGATACTCAGTGTTCAGTGCTCCATTCATGCATGAGTAATGCATGAGTAATGCATTTCACAGTAAAATACAGACCTCAAATAACAGAAAAAATAAGGGATTTAGAAGGCCCTTGTTCTCACAGTATTAAAATAATCTGGCATTACTGGAGAGAGTTAAACTCCAAATATTTCTATTACAGTACTTCCAACAACGTGATATCAATTAAAATCTGTCTATATGTATGCATGTATCTCTCTCTCGCTCTATATATATATTAGATAGAAACATAAACATTTTAATAATCACAATATGATTGTAATTGTGTATGTCTGTCTATACATAAATATAATACACAAATTCACACCTGATGTTGGTTTTCTTAGTTCTGACAGCACGCTTAACATTTGACTCGTGGCTAAATTTCCTAAGATAAAGTGTTAAAAGGGAACACTCTGGAACTGTAGCAACATTTTAATTATATTTTTCCTTTTCAGAAACATTCTCGTTAGCATTTTTGCTAATCACTCTGGTTTCAGAGAGTGACAGTATTTACGTTGAAGTTTGTATCGGATGCGGTCATTTGAACAATGAAAGCAGATATTGAGGAGAAAGTCTTAAACATCTCATTTTATTAGTCGAAGTCATTTTCAGGCACCGAATCTAATATATAATGTAATAATCTAATATATAATGTAATACCACCAACCTTTTCCTGCGCCAGCCTGCTGGGGTGTTGATCGCCCTTCTTCTTCTTCTTGTTTTATGGCGGGTGGCATCCAACGTTAAGGTGCATTACCGCCACCTACTATTCTGGAGTGTGGACCATTGACTAACAGAACTTAAA